GAAAAGCTTGAATGGTAACAGTGACTCCTTGCCTAAACAAAGGGCCTGGCTGAAACGGCGCTTGGCTGCCGTTGACCCCCTCCCCTCGTTGAAATCCGACTGTTAGGGATTCCTGCGGCTTTTGTTTAAGCACATCTTCCCCCTTTGATGAGACACTTTCAGAAGCCCGACTCTACCTACATATCTTCACATTTTACGAGAGGCGAACAGGATGCTCGTTGTTAGTGTGATGCACCTTAATGCAGAATATTTAAGTATTTCTTTATAAGAAGAAAATTTAATTTGTATTCGTATATTGCGGGAAATCAAACGGTCGAAAGAATTGTTACTAATCATGATCCAATGATCCTTCACTGTGTAGTTCCTCTCCAATGTAGCCATTAGCACCTACGGGACACCTGACGCATATGGGCGTTGGCGGAGGAATTTCCGAAATCTTCTAAGAGAGAATTCCATTTTATTTTAATTTAAGCATTAATGTCCACGTTTAGGATCATTATTTTCATTAAATAACACTGTGGGATTATAATGTTTATCTAAGTTATAGTATTCATAATTTGTTTCACTCACAGATTTGTGATTCGCATCAAGCCGCCATTTTTTCGTGTTTGATTTTGAGTATATCTGTTGCGGATTCCTGTAAGTCGCAGCAGCTGATAAATTTCTTCTTTGTGTAAGGTGTGGCATTTTTCGCCGTACGGTACTTGGCAATCGTGGGTCTGGGTTGCTTCATCATTCGTCGTAATGTCTCCGATGACGTAAGCATTAAAACCCCGTTACTCAAAGACTCGTGCTATTCATCACGTGTCCTTTGTTATTTGGCTGTCCGCGGCGCAGGGAAGATCGTGACATTGCACTTGATGAGTAGAGTCAGAATTGCTATATTTATTCACGGAAAAGTTTAGCATCTGAATGTCCTTTTCTTTCGGTGAAGATTTCATGGATTGGTGGTCGTTTGGATTCGAATTGGAATTGTGGAAACGTGTGAACTGAGAGCTTCTGGCGAAAGTTGAGTGCGTGTTTTTTCGGTCGACGTCGTCTACACGTTCCCACTATGTGAAATGTCTGCAAATGATTTCGCTTAAATACTCAATCGAACTTCGCTGTGTTCGCAGGATAATGTAAAAACTATGAAAATCGAGGACAATGACGTTCGAATACAACGAAAGCGTGCTTAGCAAGCTAGCAATTATATGGTTTTACGCTGAAATGGCTTCGGTTTCATTACGAAGGGATAGACGAGAGAGGCTCGTACCTCATTCATAAGTGGGCAAATAGGACAGACGACGCTTCCAACAAGCCATCTTGAAATTAACCTTTAAGCGTTACGTTTACCTGCCGAAGTGACATATCAAGAGTTGATATTTGAAAAGCAATCTATGTTTTCGTAAGTAATGCAGAAGGCGAGTCTTTGGCGTACGAATGAAATGTCGAGAGGACGAATCAAGCCGATTGGACATTTTGAAAGGAGTACGCCAAGGACACTTTCGTACCACTTACATTATTTTCTGGCGCAAATTGGTGGAAACTTACAATTGCCACATTGATTCACATTGCGCCAAGTGTTTTGTTTACGTTGCTACTCGATGCTTTTTAAATGGCCATGACTTCTTTATGGCAACATATGTAGGCTAGGCGTACCGCGAAGTAGTAATTATTTCCAATCAATAAACAGTGGAGGTAAGTATGATCTCGATGATTCCTGCAAAGGACATTGGTCCCGTAAGTGTGGTGCGATCTTCCGTCGCTGGGTGGCGACATCCGGCGTCGACCTACGCGTATTTCACGAGCCAGCTATCTCCCATTTGTTAGGGTACTGCTTCGGCATTCGCCTGGAATTATTCGGCGAAACCACGGGAAACTACCGGTCAAAGAGCCGGCCGCTAGAATTCTCCTCCAGGCAACGACTGAATTGGATCTAGCTAGTGCCGAAAATCCTCTTACCGTCGGAGCGATAGTACCACCCGGTCGGAGGCACTGCAGTGACATCAGTGCCCTGAGCCATGGTCCCTGAGCAATCGAGCAATCGGTACAAACCTCGAACTCAACTGCAAGAGCAGGAAGACAAATCAAAGACTTGTAGTGGATCTGCGACTACGTGATCGCTTGAAAATGACCGTCGGCAATTCGACTGACTGCTGTGATTGCCACTCAATTTGGCAGGGAAAATGTTGCTATTCAGCTGAAGCTCTCTTCAGTGTACTCTGTTGTTACTTGCGTAACAAGAGGCCGAACAACTGACTGCGCTGACGTAATAAGACCGCCAAACTGTTATCCGAGCATGACCTTCAGCCTTCCCTGACCATATTTTCTCGATCCCTATCCTGTCATTACGAAATTCCAACCGTAATTTTACTTGGTGCACGAAGCAGATATCCGGTCGATATAACAGAGTACTATTTTATGCGCTACATGACCTTGAAACTGAAAACACGTTTCATTCTTGAGGATAACGTTTATACGAGACTGAAACGAACGAAAATACAGGGATTTACGCCAACAAAAATGTGTTTTGTTGCGAATGAAATTTACTGCAGCATTTTAGTTTAATTGTAAAAACAAAACTTCAACATTTTCAATTTTTTTTCAAAAATGGTTCAAAATTTTTCCTTCTAATTTTTCGAACGTGTAGTGCTAATTACTCTCTGTAAGATGACGTGAAGTTCATTCCGGGGTATTTTTTCTTCAAAAATTACAGAAATGTAATTTCTTTGACAGAGCTCTCACACCGTTATTGTACACATTTCCAGCAGTTTGTAAACACTATTTCATTTGCGAGTTAATATACTTCAAATGGCTTCGAATGAAGTTTCCAAAAACTCAAAGATTCTCTGTGAAAAAGGCTCAAATTTCAAGTTTTCAGTAGCACTTAAACTTTTTTTTTAAGGGTCAACATTCTTGAAAGGAAATTGCCATTTAGGACAAGGTTTTTATATTCTTGAATTAATATTTCCGTTCTACTATTAAAAAGACGAACAATTGAGAAATTTTTTTTAAAAAAAAAGTACTTAGGGCGGCGATAGAAGGCAGCAAGCAAGAGTATGTGGCAAGGTCGAATAGCTATCAGAGTCCAAAGGAAATAGAAAACTAATAAAGGAAGTCTGTGCCATTTTGTAGCACAGCCACTAGGTTTGGTTTGTTTTAAAGCGGAGAGCCCATCGCTATATAAGGCGTCAACTCTTAGTTGCATAGAGATTGGCAGAAATGTTTGTTTGTTTGTTTGTATGTGCGAAATCGTCCCCAAATCATCTAGGGACGGTTTCTTTTCCCCTTCTGATACGCTTTTGTTTTGAGCGGGTGCCCTTCTATGTGTTCTGGTTGGAGACCCGCGGACCGTAAATCTGGCCCTGCTCCTTGTACAGCGTGTTTTAAAAATATTTCCATTTGACTTTCTTGTGCCTACCTCGTAAGAAGAACAAGTATTGTAATAGTGCGCCGGAAAATGGAATTTCGACAGAAAATCTCTTATTGTTGGGTCTGGTATGGAAAAAGTTGATACATTTTGCTCCTAAATGTAGTAAACTAGCAAAGTACCCGGCGTTGCCAGTTTTTTTTTTTTCATATTCAAACCGCGTATAAGAGAAAAAGTCTGTCTCTGTGTACGTCTCTATCAATATCTGCCTCTGTCCGCCTGTGTCTCCGTCTCTCTCTGACTCTCTCTCTCCGTCTCTTGTACGCGCCCGTTCCGTTCTCCAGGGCCTCGCCCTGCATCAGACAGAGAGCGGCAACGGTCAGCAACATTGACGTCTGCAGGTAGAGCGCAGATTGAATAGAAATTGCATTAAAATGAAGCGGACTTTTGTTATGCAGCATTATTTATTAGAGGTGCTACAAACTTAACAGCACATAAACCTTCTGGGTGAATAAACACGTAGATGGGCTACTTTCGTGGAGATCAGTCACATAGTGTCGGAGTTAAGAAGATTACTTCCTTTAACAAGTGTAGTCAGAATCTATATATTGTGGATCTTTGATAGTACCGAAAAATCGATTCACAGCAAACGTCTGTCTATCCGTCTGTGGTCAATGCTAGCGCCAAAACCATTCTGCAGATTTTCTTCAAAATTTATGTTTCTCAATCTATTTAAAGGAACTTGATGCCCTCAGAGATTGAAACGAACATATTAGATTTTGGGTGGTATTTTGCATGTAACCTCAACCACATTTTCAAAATTTTCGCAAAAATAACTCCAAAGTTTTTTATTAGATTTTGTCCTTGGATAATGTAAAGGACACCTAAGATAATCTGAGGACCCATTTTCCTTGAAAAGCCTAATTTTTTTGAAAATAGCAAAAGATCAGTTGTTTTCAGGGTCTTTCCACACCTGACATTATTGAAGATGTTCTTTAAGGAGAGATCTTGAAAATGTGTACAATTTTTCGAAAATAGAATACTTTTCGCTTAATTTTGAGTGAATTATAGACAATTTTGAATTTTTTAGTCAATGTTGTTTTTTCAAAAAGTCTCCATTTTTTGCTTTACATTGTCTTCTCGTATGTATCAAAGGACGGTAAAAAAAAGTTATTCTAGTTTTATATCCGACAAACTCATTGTATTTTCGAAAATTACAAAAAAATAACATTTGAAAACTACAAAACAGAGATAGAAATATTTGCTATATTCAAAAAGTGTTCTAAAAAAGTCATGATTTTTCAAACTAGTAGTTTTCGCGTAATTATGTCCTTTATTTTTGGAAAAAACATTTTTGTCAAAAACCGCTCCAAAGTTTTTCATCAATTTTTTCCACGAATTGGACAAAGGACGTTTAGAGAATGGTGCATGTCTCATTGTTGTCGAACTGTCTGTATTGTTGATAATTGCAAGGTTTGAAATAATGTAAGAAGGTTTTTTTTCTGTTGTAACACCATTAGTTTTTTGCAGAAGACTTGTGTGTCCCATTTGGTGTAATAATGTGATCCAGACAGAAAGCAGTAGTGATTTAAAGGCTAATTGAACAATGTATTGTGACACTTTAGAATTTGTGTGTCTTCCATTTCAGAATTGGTCGAACAACGAATTGGAGCAAGACGATTCTTCGATTGCAATTCCGTTTGTGAACCGAACTCGGGAAATTCAGGATGTCATTAGCGAGCAGAGACTTCTCATTGCTCAAGAAATGGAGGGTTACAATTACCCCGACGGCCAACACAACATAACTGCCAAGTGAGTAATAACTAATAACATGAAATCTTTCAAATCTAGACTTTTCGTTCCCAGAATATCGTAGGATCGAACTGCAATCGTAGCTAGATTTTTTTCTCAATCATCAAGACAACCTCAAATAAAGAAGTGATGATGCAGTAGGGTGTTATAACAATAACTATTTCAAAAAACAGAAACGAAAATTAAAAAGTTCATACTATTGGGTCACAATATGAGTCTGATATAAAATGAGCAATAAATTAAATCAGTTCATTGAAAGGAAAAAGTCCATATCTATGAATAACATACATTATATCAGATTAATTGTAGGCAGAAACAGTGTAATGCAAAATACAGTCGACTCCGGTTATAGTGTACCCTCGGTTATAGTGAACTTAAGTCACTGGTCCCGTTTTATTAATAACTCAGAAATTGTAATTATACAATAGGCGTCATGAAGTGTATTGACGCTCAGTTCATAAGGCAAGAAAACACAGAATTGATACATATTGAACGACATTCGGGTTTCACAGACCACCCGAATGCAATGCTGGATTATGCCAATAAAACTTTTTGTTTCTTAAATGAAACCTGTAAAAATGATAAATTAAAACAAGTGGATGATATAAAAGTTATATTTAATGAAATAAAACTATGAATCTTGTAAATTCGTCCAGTAAAATATCAAAATGTGCAATTTTCAAGCAGCATTACTTAAAACGTGTAAAACCATGCTCTAACCACCTAAACGTGCAATTTCGTACACAATTTACTTACTAAAATAATATCCTTTTCAATATTCAAATTTCGGACAAGGTTTCGTCCAATTTTAAGTTAGTAAAGAAAAGATGCAATATCACGGGAATCCGGTTTTTACAAATTAGTATAAGATTCGGTTATAGTGAACCTGAACCTGGGCTATAACGCAGGAGATACAATGTCGTGGAAATTAATCGAAATTAATTCCTTCTTGGAAAAGAATATATCGCATCAGTGCCACAAATTCCAACACTAGGAAGCTTGGAAAAATATCGTCCACCAAAGATCATAATCGATGAAACCTCCCCTGAGGTGAAGCTAGCAGATCGGAAATGGACACCTTACTTATGACCTTGTCAAAGGATTAGAAAGACGTGTAGCAGTTTCTGCTGCACGATGTCTCCAAAAGCTCTCCCAAAAAACTCAAGCTATATTGGGCAACCTTAACAAGCCCTTTATCATATACGTAGTATTCATAAAGTTTTCTAATCGTAGAAAACGACGTATTAGTTGAAATATAAATTTTTTGGGTGTCGTTAATGATTTTTGCAATCACATCTCGGGCCGTGTGTGAACTATATTAGTTCCTAAACAGCCCGCATATTTTCCCAAAATTGTTACTATGTTGCCCTCTTTTGCTCCTGCGAATTTGATCGGAATATTGTTTTACAGACGGCTCGAATTTATTTAATTACATTCCTTTTTCGAACGGAGGAAAACGTAATGAAGAATAGTAGTGTAGCGTGAGGGCAGACAAGGTTATCACAAGGAAAATAGTAATATGTGGAATGAAATCTAAATACTTCAATAGAAGATACTCTTCAATTCTGTGTCTGTAATGCGAGAGGAGCCTGCGCGAGGGGTCAGCTGTGGCATCGTTAACACGAGGGCCAGAACCGTTAGGTCGGTGAAAGTACGCTGCGGGGGAGGAAGGGGTTGAGCCTGAACTTCCGGGAGTTTGCGCTCTGGCGGGTGACTCAGGTAGAACCGCAGAGCCAAAAGTACCGTAGGCTGTAAACTCCGAGGATGCTAGCCTGCGAGCCTCGCTTACGGAAGCAGGCAGCCAACCTGAGAATCCTGTGTGGGGGCGTAAACCAAGGCTGGCCAGCGAGCCTCGCGCCAGCCGGCGAGCCTATCTATGGAACAGTGGTGGGGGTGTCAGCCTCAACTATTTAACGCGGCGCCATCGGCGCCCGCGTTCTCATTCAGTTTGCATCGGGGAGCTTGTACGTGTATGTACGAGGAGTGTAGGAGTGTGGGCGAGATGTCCGGAGAGTAAGGGCCAGACGATCTCGCGTGCTGTAGGCACACGGTCGCCACGACCGGGTTAAATTTTGGCGTCAGGCCATGCGACGGTAATTGTCACGGGACAGAGGTCCGACAGCGCGCATCACTCGTGGCTTGTATTTTCTGCGGTAAAACAGTGTTCTGAAAGGAAAAGGTTGCCGGAGTGTTTTAACATTAGCAATTCATAGTAACTTGTACATAATCTTTGAATATATTTTCTTCTGTTATTGAAATTTATTTCTTATTTCACTACGTCACACAGCGCTCTACCTCCTTCGGTAAGTGAAACCCAGGGGAGCCTCGGGATAGGCAGAAGGGGAGCACGTGACTTCCGCAAGTGTCTTCGCAGTCTCAATTTTCCTGTATGTGTCCGCGGCTCGCAGCCGCCAACGAGAAACTCCGGTCAATCTGTGATTTTAGAAGGGAAGGTTATATGAACGGTGCTATACATCACAGAAATGCAAATTTTAAGTTGCAGAGTAGCCCAACCAATAACTGCTAATTCTACAACTTTCGTATAGGACATAACTGTTCCAGACGCCAAAGGTGGGTGTTATCAAGTTTCTTTTTTCCTCATAACTATGGTACAAGGACTTTATTCCCTTTTCAAATCACCATTCAAGTGTATGGCCTTCATATGGTTGTAAATCGCCAAAATGGGGCAAAATGGGCGCTCTGCACACTTGAGCGAGTGAATGAGAGGGAGAGGGTGTAAAACGGTGAGGTTTTTTGCTCCATTTCTTTTTTCGTGCGTAGATGGAGCGTGATTCTAGAGAGGGGGCATCAAAACAAAAATTTTATGAAATAATGAACTCACACAGCATTACTCGTGGATGGGGAATACCCCAAAGGATAAACCAATAGACAGAATTCGGCATTTGCCTAGGGACGTCATGAAATGTCATGAATTAACGCCATTTTTATTTATTCGTTTGATTTTTTCAATGTTACACAAATGTAATTTTGCAATTGAAAAATTCAAAAAACGTGAAAACTTGTGTTTTAGGCGCCAATACATAACAGCTGAAAAGAGATGAGGCAAAACCGAAAAGATAACTTAAACTAAACGGAAAAGGGAACCAACTAGAACGAGAAAGTTTGTACCATTTGTTGCACCAGTAGTTACGTCTTCAATGTCTGATGTATAGCAGAATATGCTGTGTAGTATAGTAGTGTATGTGCAGTAGTATATGCTGGTAGGGTTAAGACTAGAGCCGGGGGTGTGTTACTATTTTGTTAGCAATACAAAAAATATCAAATCAGCAGTTGGTTTACGGATGCAAATAAGTGTTCTATAACTCTGGAGCGAAAATGTCTAGTTTTCAAATTTGCTAATCTCTCTTTTTTGTCACTTTTATTCATGATTCAATTATTTATAGTTAAAATGTTGGGAAGAGAGTTGGGAAAAGGTGAAGGAAAATTTTGTTTCCTTTCAACCTTTCTTTCGTTATAGATAATTTTGTTTCTTTTTAATATTCCTTCTTTTGTGTGGTGTGTAATTCTTTACGGAAAGGTTAACACTGGAATGAAAGATCTCTACTAAAAAGTCAATGTTAAAATACAACAAACGTAAAAAGAATATCAAACAATTTATATATTGATTAGTGAGTCTACTGAATTTATTTTCAAAAACTGACGGTTTTGTTTTATATAGATCATTGCAGGATCTTGCCCCTGAGTCGGGAGGTCAACCAATCAGGACTTTGGTGGCGACAACGTGGCGGTCTGGCTCAACCTTTCTGGGAGATGTTCTGAATAGCCATCCAGCAAATTTTTACCACTACGAGCCGCTTTTGGATTATGAAATAATGCAGATACGTGAAGAACCTCTTGCTTCAGAAGCAGTTTCAAAGCTGAAAGCATTACTTCATTGTAACTACACAGGTCTTGGTATGTAAATATTTTGACATTTCTTGCAACAAATTGAATCATGTTTGAAGTTTATAAGTTCTTTAGAAATATTGTAATGTGTGTTTGATGAAAAAATATATACACATTTTTGTGTTGTTAATTAATAATGCTGTTGTGAAAAAAATCGTAAATTTGCCTTTCTGCGCAGTGTATCGAATTCTTAAAATACTTTCTGAACTCTTAAGCTAAGCGTTTGTGTTCCATACCTCTACAAGTTACGATTTTGCGTTTGGGATACATTTGAATATGGTATTGAAATACACGATATAATATGGCGTGAAATAGTGGAAAAATTTCTTCTAGTTTTACTGAATTTCATAGCTTCAGATATTTCGTTGCCATCATGTGTGTAAATCTTTGTTTCAAACCCTGCAACCCCGTACGTGCTCGTAATCCGATGAATGCACTCCTGTACGTATGCACTCCTGAAAGGTGTAAGTGCTACACCTACCATAAATTATTATATGTCTGTATCTGTGTAAATATTTCTTTTTTAACACATGAACGAAACGTGGTCTTTCGTGTTTGTTTTCCGTGTGCGAAACATCTGTTCGCAATGTCTTTCGTCTTGACGTCGTTGTTTATTATTTACAAACAATAGCGTGAAGACACTGGAATTCATTTGCTTGTGAAGAAGTAAGGTATATCTAATTACTTGATATTTAATTTACATTCCTTAACTTGAGACATTGCGTTTCGCCCACAGTGTTAAAAAATAGAATACGCAACACGGGCGCGAGGTGATTCCCGCACTCGTCTCTTTGTCGTCCTCGCAACGTTCAGACGAAAAACTCGTCTTGTGCGTAAATCACCTGTTTCGCGACCTTCCTACGTAAACTAATATTTTTTACACGTCTTGCAAAAAAACTGACAATTCATTAATTTTATTTTTTTTTACAGATCGTTATCTCACCTACGGTCAATATCATATTGAACTGTTTGCTCATAACACAAGGTTATGGGCCCAATGCCAAGAGCATCGGGATCTTTGTTGGTCCCCTGATTTCCTCTCTCCTTTCTGTCGTCTGTTCCCATTCCAAAGTATGAAAGTTGTACGACTAAGGCTCAAATTAGTAGAAGAATTTCTTAAAGACCCCAGGTATTTTCGAATGAATGTAATTTATTGATTTATTGTTTTGATGCGAGTGTTTCTAACAATTGACTAACTTTTTTTTTCCAGCCTTAATGTTCGGGTATTACTCTTGGTTCGTGACCCGCGGGGGACTGTACAGTCCCGAAAGCATCGAGTGTGGTGCCCCAATCATCCAGATTGTGCAGAACCCGCACTTCTCTGTTCGGATTTGGTTGCAGACTACAGTGCAGCAGTGGAATTGAACGCCAAATATCCAAACAGGTTCAGGTAATAATCACACAGGAAGTGTATGACATTGAACAATCTGGACCTATGGTTCCACCCTGCAAAATTTAAAAAGAACCTTTTAATGTTGTGCTCTACATGATTCCCATTGGACATTTTTTCAAAACTGTCAAAAAATGTTCTCATTATTTTTTGGCCAAATAGAGCTCAGTGCATCTATGAGTATGGTTTGCCTGTGATTTTCATTCAGACATCCAAATTTTACAAAATTGCTGAAGTTCAATTTTTACTTTCTTATTTTTAACACAGTGTAAAGAATGCGTGTAATGTAATGCCGTGGAGAAAAGGGGAATTTTCCTCAGAAAAACTCTTATTGCTGGGTCCTGGTAACGATAAAGAGAAAATATTTTGTTACTGTTTGAAGTAAATTATTTGTACTTTCTGTAACACATAGTGTAGTCAGAATCTTTGTTTGGTTGGCCCTTAATACCAAAGAATCGATTGAAGGCAAAACGTCTGTCCGTCTGTCTGTACAACAACGCTAATGGGCTAAACCGTAAGTGGGATTTTTATCAAAATTGATGTTCCCCAATCGATCAGACTGATGTCACTGGCCCTTGAATTTCAAATGTATATTTTGATTTTTAGCGGTTCTTTACATGAAGCATCGATAAAATTTTCTCAAAAATGGCTCCAATGTTTTCCTTAATTTTTTTTCTTTCTCGTGTACAGAGTAATATACGTAATATAGAGAAAGTTATGTAATGCTACGGAAAATATATTTCGAGATTTCAATGGAAATACACGTTTTGGGGTTCCCCGATACCGAAAAAGTCTTTTCTTCAAAACGTCTGTCTGTCCATCCGTCTGTCAACACTAGTGCCAAAACAATACATAGGATTCTTTTCTCATTTTTAAACTTTTTTATTTTTTTATTATTATTAATATTATTTTAAATGGATATTTCTGAACCGAAATGGCTTGTCTAGGAACACAGCGATTTTGAAAAACGTTCTTTAGAATTTGGGGATACTTTACATGAAGCTCCGAGGACATTTTCAAAATGATTTATTTCAATTTCATGTAAGAAAAGAGTAAAATAGGTGGCATAGGTATGATTTGTCACTGTTAACTCTGAATTTTTAAAAATTGCAAAAGTTTTATTTTTTTTCGGGGTGACTTCTTACAACTACAAAATTGAAGATAGAGATTTTTCCTACCCATGAAATTTGTTCTCCATAAGTAGTTCTTTGAATAAGTTTATGTATATTTTTTTGAAACTTGTAGTAATTTTCGAGCTCAGACCAATATTGCATGCAATGTGTCGAATTCAAAAAATAACAAAAACAAGAATTTCTCAATACGGCTCTCAATTTTTTCTTTAAAATGTTTATAAGAATAGGGCTAAATGTGCTGTATAAGATGACATAAGTGTCATTTTGTTCTACTCCTTCAAAAATAATTTTGTGGACTAGCCTCTCGCATCGTAAATATTTATATTAGCAGCCCTTTCTTCACAATAATTGTATTTATGAATATATCTGCTTTAAATGGTGTATTATTAAGTTTCTCGAAAGTCAAGTTTTCTGTAAAAACATGCTCAAAATTCCACATGTGAAGAAGCGCTCAGACGCCATTTTCTCGAAGACGGCTAAAAAATTTTACGGGTAGTGCTAATGACGTAAATTACGGGTAGTGCTGTATTATTTTATTTGTTTGTTTTTTCTTTCTAAAATTACATGTGTAATGTTTTTAAAACATATCACGCACCTTTAATATGCATAATATTTACAGCAATTTATATACATTATTGCATTTGTGAGTGAAAGTGCTTCAAAAAACTTCCAATAAAGCTTTTTGAAAACTCAGAAGATATCTATGAAAAGGAGCTTCAAATTTCACATTTACATTAGAGATTAAACAATATTTTCTTCAAAACGGCTCCAAAAGTTTCATTGAAAATTTTCTTACAAAACGAGCTTTTACACTTCAATATTATTCTTGCAGCAATATTTCAGTTCTACCATTAGGATATCGAAAAGAAATTTAAAAAAATGTATTTTGGGAGGTGATAGATGGCAGCTGGCAAGAGGATGCGGGAAGTTTGAAAAGTTAGCTCAGATCAAAGAAATTTGAAAATTGACAAGTGTGAGAAAATCTGTGCCATTGTATCTAGTGTGATAAAATTTGTGATAGCACCACTAGTTGAGTGTTGGGATAATGAAAATAAAAATCAGGAACCTGCATAACCAAACCTTTTTAACTGAAATTATAGCCATGACTCAAAAGAAAATGGAACCAACTAGAATGAGAAAGTCATTCTGTAGTATCTTCAGTGTCACTTCTTTTACATGAAAACAATAAAAAAATACTAGGTAGTTCGCAAAGCTAAGACCCCTGTCCACCAGTGTTGTAATAAAAATATAAAAGGAAAAAGGTCATCGTAATATGCTTCTATTTTATTACTGTCAGGAGAAAAATAAGGTGTCCATTATTTTTGTTAAAAAAATATATGAACCCTGTGTGCATGCAGTAAATAATGTCAGATTACAAATAGTATCAAACCATTCTGTCATGCAAATTGTAAGTAATTTATTTTTCATGCAGTCTAGTACAAGGGTTGCCTTTTATATATTTTAGGATTATAGAACAAAAACTAATATTAATCATCGAAAATCACTTTATTGTTTTTCAAAATATTCCCCATGAAGATCTATACACTTTTGCATGAGTTTGAACCAATTGTCGAAGCACTTTTGCCACTCAGATTGAGGTATCTCCAAAACATGCATTCTGAATGCAGCAACCGCTTCTTCAGGTGTCGAAAAACGTTAACCTCGCAGTTTGTTTTTTACCTATGGGAATAAAAAGAAGTCATTCGATGCCAAGTCCGTTGTTTTAGCCGATGTGTGAGAGCTCGCATTGTCGTGGTGAGGAGTGATCCGTCTTCGGCGGTTGGTTTTCCTGATTTCTTGGAAGACAACTGGCAAACAAATCGTTGTGTACCACTCAGAATTGACTGTTCCACGTTGTTCTAGTGGTACGGTTGCGACATGTCCAGTTTTTTCCTAAAAAACGGGCGACCATCTGTTTGGAAGTGCTTCGTGCACGAACCATTTTGGTTGGATTTTGCTCCCCTTGAAACACCCATACAGTCGACTGCTGTTTACTGTCGGGCTCATACGCGTAAATCCACGATTCATCAGCTGTCACAATGTCGTAGACGTGTTTGAGAGCACCGCGATCGATTTTTTTTTTTTAAGCATTTCTTTCGACCAATCGACACGAGCCTTTTTTTTGAGCGATAGGCAAATTGTGTGGGATCCAACGCGAACAAATTTTTTTGACAGTCAAATGTTCATGCAATATTGAATATGCTGGTCTCACTAATGCCTAAGGTTGTCTCAATCTCACGATAGTTCACATGACGATCTTGCAATATCAGTTCACGCACAGCATCAATGGTTTTCGGAACAACAACTGATTTTGACGACCTTCGCGAAATTCGTCTTGGAGTGAACAACGATCACGATTGAATTCACCATACCATTGATAAACACTGGTCCTTGATGGAGCTTCATCGCCAAAAATTGAATGAAGTTTGTCCATGCACTGTTGCTGAGTTAATCCACGTCGAAAGTTGTAAAAAATAATCGCAAGAAAATGTTCACGATTTAATTCCATTTTTGGGCCAAGGTCAACCTTTTAAGTTACTGTAAACAACACAAATAGCGCTTGTATGTCAAAATGTTCTGGGTACGTATAACCTCAAAACATCCAACTTTACGATAGAGCTGTTAGTTACCAGATTGCAACATCAGGGTTGCCAAATCCCGAAACATAAAAGGCAACCTTCATATTCGATAAATATTTGTTTTTTTATACATTTGTGTGTTTTCATACAGGGTAGTACGTTATGAAGATCTTTCTGTGGAGCCATACACAGGGGTTCAAGATCTCTTTGATTTCTTTGGCTTGGATTTCCATCCCAGTGTTCAACAGTTCCTGGATACTCATACAAAAGTTGATGTTGGAGGTGTTTCAAGCACATACCGCAATTCAAAATCTGCACCATTTCATTGGCGTCAGGATTTGTCTCATCAAGAAGTGAGAAATATTCAAAGAGTTTGTTGGCCTGCAATGGAGCGTTGGGGTTATCTCCTTGCTGCCAATAGTACACATCAGCATGACTTCAATCCTTTGGGTTCCTTTTCACTGACACTGACATAGCAGAGAAGAAATGATGTCATTTTGAGATCATTTAGACTATTTCACTGCAAAAAAGCAATTAATGAGACTATTTTAGGTAATCATGAATGTATTGATGATGTGGCATAAAGACTTACAAAACAGAACTACAATTGAAAAGGTAACCAACATTGTCGGTTGATTTCATGAAAATTTACTGTGTAATGCACAAAGTAGCTACTGTACATAATTATATACTATAAACGTACCTCATTAAATCTAATGTTGGGCCTTGTCAATTGTTGTTTCTGTGTTGTGATAAAATGTTAATGGCAGCTGCTGTTATGTCCTGGCAACAATGTCAGTTAGCTACATTCACAAAATAGTGATGGTTGTGACAAGAATATATTTTGAAACATGCAAACTTTTCAATCAATGAAGAGAAAAGACATTCTGCATTGTTTCGTAGTTTTATAAAGAAAATCTGCCTTAACAGAACTGCATTCACTTTCACAATCTCATTTTTGTTATCATTCCATTGTAATGTTAATACCACTCATCTGACTTTTAATGCATTGTGTGCTGATAATGGTGCTTTTTCATAATGGCAATATTTACTTTATGCATTTTAAAGCATATCCTCTAGTGATTGACATGTAGTATTGCATTTCGTTGACAATGCGAAAGTTAATGAGGAAAAGGATAATCCACATTTCTTGATAGAACATTCACATATCAAGCTGATTTGATTCGTAGTAACATATCATCTTCCTTGAGTATTTTAAGAAATTTCACTTGTTGATATGCAGAATTCTGATTTTATGGGATATTAACATGTTTCAGATTATTAGTGTATTACAGGGAAGCGAGTACCATGCCATGTTCTGGGGTTTTATGTATGACATTCCTTTAGAATCATATGCAAAGTTCATTTTGATTGTGAAAAATGCGTAATGTATAATGTGCCTCTTATTAAGTTTGCTCATTGAAAATTTGCCTCGAAAAATTTATAGCACTTATTAAAGAGGTTTAGTAGTAGGTAAGATTGAGTCCCTTGAAATGATTGTATTTCTCTTTCACTAATATTATTCTAGAACTCCCTGGTAGTCAATTGAGACAAATTACAAAAAGAGTGTTTTAGAAAAATATCAGCATGGCTTGTCTGAAAACTAGCCTGTAGTGTATGTCCCCGTGCAAATCATGACATGAAATGATATTTGAATGTTAAGTTTGATCGTAACTGACTTTGATCCATTGTGATTTAATTATTATGTGTGTATTGAGTGTTTTATATTTTCTTTTATCACTGTGAGTTTTTGTAATTTGAATGTTTTACAAAACTGAGAGAAATATTTATTTGATTATAGTGTAATTATTTATTGAACTTTTAAGGTTTTAAATATTGTGTTTTAAGGTAAGGGAACAGTGGCTGATTTTGCTTTTGCTCTTCTTGGGGTGGAAGAAGATACAAAATCTAGCTTGATCAATAGCATTGCCTTACCTGAATATTGGTGCCATTTACAACTACTATATTTTGCTGTGGTGATTGTGAGGGCCTTCAGAATTTACTTTACTTTCCAAATAATTCAGCCCTGCTGACTTTCAGTATTAAATCAAATATCAGTGCTATTGCAGATGAGAGGTATGGAGGAAGAGAAAATCATCGAAATTGATTGTAAACCTAATTTGAAATTAAACAAATTTCAATTGGGTAATTATATTTAATTGTATATTGTGTGTTTATATTATACATATTATTTTTGTCATTGTTGTGTATGAATTATTATACAGTATGTGCATATGTCAGTGTAAGAAGCAGTTATTACAAATTTCATGGGAATGTTTTCAGTATCTGAAAATCTTTGTATGTTTTATCTCTATTTCAGTATTCATCTTAAAAACATGTACAACTCAATTTTTACTGACACAACTTGTTCCTAGTGTGAAGATATTTGAGACTTTTCTATCCAAGAGTTTTAGTCTTAATGGGTATAGATTAAAATTCATTGAATCTATTGTAATGTTTTTAAAAAAAATTTTTTGTGTCTGCCATAATAATAACTTGTGAAATTCTTAATGTTTGATGTCCCAGCATTGAGTTGTAAGTGTATGAAACTGTGTTCGATGCAGCCCAGAATATAGTTTGCAGTTTGTGTGATATTGCTCATGTATGTTACTATAGAAATTTCTTTTGAAATTTTTTGTACATTTATCACTTCTGGTGATGAGAGGAATTTGGAAAATTTAAATTTAAATTTTTATTTTTCACATCCGAAAATGGAACAATGAATCTTAAGAATTTAAAAAAAATTGTAATAAGTGAAGTCCCTGTGCATTATTGGTACTAAGCAATATTGTTGTGTATATGGCACATAGCTACTGACTTATATATACTTTGTGTTATTTCTTTTACTCTTTTATTATTTGTGTTGTAAGGTTATAACCATTTTTTGTGTATATTATCTTGTGATGAGCTCAAAAATTGAGACTGATGGGAACATATTTCAGTGTTTTTATCATTTGTAGAATTCAATTTGCAAGAGGTTTAATTGAATACAAGCCCTTTAAGAGAAAATCTCTCTTTTTTTTCAAACATCTTGTAATGTATCAATTTTTAATTTCTAAATCTATAGACTACAGTAATGTTAAAGAAACTAGAATTGCAATACATTTCTAGTGTAAAATATCTTTCCCTTTTTTGTTGTGCAGGTAATTGTATTACCAGTAAGTAAAATTAGCAAGTGATGTATCCCGATGTTTCTATATTCTACTAATGATTGTTTAAAGGCTGGGAAACAGAGAAACTACACTTTTTCCAAAATATATTTAATAGGATTTGTAAATAGAAATAATTAATGTCCAGCAAGTTTGCATTACGCAGCAAATTATAAGAACTGGATGAGAGTTTTAAATTTTGTTTAGATTAGTTGAACAAACGAATTTTTTGTCAGTTGTGTTAATGCAGCATCTTTTGGACACTTACACTTAGATTCAGGATGATCTTTTGCTGGTTTTTGTTTTTTAAGTCTGTTGTAAAGGTCTTCTTAAACATTTTTGAACAAAATTAAATATAAATGAAGATGGTGCCTCACATAATGAACATTCATAGAAAGGTGGCAATGATATGCATTTCAACATGTGAAAATATTGCTGTACATGATTAACCTTCAGCATTTCTAAAATATTATTTTACAATAATGGGTGGAAAAGGAAAAAACTAATGGCCAATTGGTAAGGTCAAAAATACTTGGACGAAGTATCCAGGGATTCAGGTCATTGTCAAGCTCTTTTCTTCTCAGGCAAACTGAGATGAAGAGGGAAAAGCAAACTACTTAAATTGTCTTCTTCAAACATTAGAACATTAGCCGAAACTAAAAATCTGAAGATAAATGTGTAGAAAGAGGGAAGGAAGGAAGAAATGGGAGGTGCATTGAACTCAACTCAGTAATTCAAACTGTATTCACATAAAACTCCAATTATTTGAATCAGATATGGTAGAAAAAAGAAAAAATGAAATATATGAGTGTTGGGGGGGGGGGGAATATGAATTTTGCGGCATGAAAACTAGATAATTCTTCAAAGTGATGGGGTCTTTTCTTCCAGTAACTAACTCGAGTAAATTGTGTTAAAACTTTAAACTTGTTTAAATTGAGTTGTTCACTTGTACTATTAACACCTAATTATATATGATATACATAATTTAACACATTTGATCCTGAGGGTTACAGCACGTGGTGAACTGTGGATTGAGCTGTATAGCTATTATTCAAAACTATATAAAAAAAAACTACTATCATACACATGAGTTTGAAACTGATAACATTTTGTAATATTGTCTTCCTTCTTTAAAATTGTATTGATTTCATTGTCGTTTGATTGTATGATAGTAGTGAGATTAGAATTCAAAAAATGGGCAAAAATGCTGTGAACTTCATCTGACAACAATACTGGTGCAGCATAATTATATTTTCTTGAAGTTCAGAAATAGTTTCATTTGCATGTTTATCCATTTATTTATTTCTGCCTTTATTTTCAGAAATATGTGGTAAAAAATGATGAAAAATAGTCTAGTTAAGTCGTCTTCATTTTACAGGAAATTTTATTTGACTGGGTATGATTTTCTCAAACACTGATAATTCAGATTTTTCATTATTTTTACTCCATTCTAAAAGATGCGAAAACTCTTGAATTTGAGAAGACTCACCAATACAATCATTCACTCTAATATCAGTTTCCTCACTATTGTTTTCACTGCTCAAACTAGTCAAAAGCCCAGGAAGAAAACAAGTCATCCTCATCAGAACAAATTAGTTCTGATCAAAAACTCTTGAATTTCTAATGTTGAGAGTTGCTGACAGCAAGAACATTACTTACGAAGAAAGACATTTTGAATGTAATTGACAATTCCTGCGAGTAAGAATATGTAATCTCATGCCGGAAAAATTGCAAATACTTGCAACAAGTAGATGCTCACATTGGCAATTGCCCTGTAACCATCTTAATGACATTAAGAAGCATGTTCCAAGTGCCCTGGAATGTGTGAGAGACTTTTACAGCCTGTCAAAAAAGATAAAAGTAGAAGAACAAATGGCATACCTAATGACATAGGATGTAGCATTAAAATGAAGATGTCAGATATGTCCGTAGGATCATAAGCGTTAACTTGTTTGTTTTTTATGTAAATTTTATAGTATTTTTAGTTTTGTGTACTTAGATTTTTTTAACTCAAATCAACAAATTTGAATCAAGTTTTTTTTATTTCACATATTTTTAACTTATTTTCTGAGTTGTATCCAACCATCCAAATTCCCATGTATCCATACTAGACAAATACCAAAATTGAATAATTGGAATTCTATTCTGTTTTTGTTGTTTCATGCATGAACGGGCACGAGTTAATAGCAATTGTGAGCAGCCTGCTTCTCATAACAGTCACATCTTGACTTATTTTTCAAGGTATTGACATTGCCCAGAAGCGAAAAAATAAGAAGTAATTTAAATGCAGATTGTACATCCTCCGAAAAATCAATTTGCAAAATCGCTTTTTTGTAAATGGGTAAGTAAATAAACCTGTCAACAAAACTCTTTGAATTGCATAATTTTTAATGATTGCATTATTTTCATTTTTGTACATGTACTGCTCACAGTATCACTTCAGATATTGAGCTTCTCAGATAAATTCACTCCCTACTTCTTTGGTTGTGAATTTATCGATAATATTGTTGTATTAATTGTAGTTATAAATGATTTTGTAGTGGTAATAACTTTTTTCAGTACTACTTATTATGTAATATAATTGAAGAATTTAACTTGACTGATAATTTGTGTTTTTTTGAACCCTTTTCTTGCACATTGGACGCAAAATCTCTATTAACTTACCAGCATCAGCATGTCGATGCTAGAAATTAAGTTGTCTGATAAAGCTACTAATTATGTGTAAGTATCTGCACAATTACACAGCCTGTTATGTTTCATTTCAAAAAGGGTTGACATATTTTTCCATGGCATACGTGTACATCAATGCGCACTCTACACAGTTCAAATTAATAAACAAATCTCAGCTTCTCCAACAGTGATTAACAAGGTAGCATTTATATGTAATTACATTTTTGTTTGTTCATTAGTTACAATCACAATATTCTCTTATGTTTACAAATTAGGCTTTTTGAAGTGATATGAAACACATTTGATAATTCATATTTGTCTGAATTTCCATGTATAAGACATATTTTACATTTTTAAGTATAACAATTAGTGCAATTTTAGGCATAGAATGTATCGTTTCCAAGTTTTTTCATCATGGTAAAATGGGTTGCAGCATAATGTGTGTATTTCTGTTTTCACTCCTATATTATAATCTGCAAAATTGTATTTTTTCTGCTTAAATCAAAGTAATGCCAGATTGAGTTCTTAATTCCCTATCTAGCAGTAGCACCCTCGGTGTTTTATTTCAA